AAAGAAGTCAACAAGGTAGTTAGTGTTAATCTGGTGAATACTTAAACATATATAGTAGAGCGCTGATTCACCACCATTCACAACTATTACAAAAGGAATGGAAAATATGGAGATAACGCAGGGACCACCCACTGTTATTTTGCATTGAATACTACAATATCCAAATACTACAAGGTTATATACTTATTTTATTTTGAACATCAGCAAGTTCTAAAATAATATAAAAAAATTGTGTCGACCAGAAATCACATGACCCTCTGCAGTGTCTTCATGGACTCCTATAGGGGTCGCAAATCCTTTGTAAATTCCGTCCATGTTTCTGTTAACCGATTAAATTACAGTGTTTTGCCATACAATCAGAACATGATCAAAACACTGTTTTATAATGCCTCCCTGCTCAAAAAAATATGCATGTCAGCAGTTTGACCCACATTGGTTCACATATCTGTGACCTGGTATGCAGTAGGTTAGTGTACAGATCAAACCATCAGAAAAAGTCCTGATGTAACTTTCCTTTGTGTGACACATATACTCTAAGGTCCTTATGACCTACGGTGATACACTCTGCCCCCTGGGACCTTGAACATTTTTTTAACATGGCTGACGTGGTCTAGGGTTTTGGTTTTTTTTATCTTTAAGAGCAGTGAAAAGTCTCTGAATACTTGCTCCTGTTTTTAGCACTTTATCTTGGCGATTAGCTTGGCGATTGATTTTAGTGTTCTGTTTCCCTAGTTAAATGCGGCGTGATCAAATAGGTCTCTCTCCAGGCCAGATCTCTTATCTTAACATATTTATCTTAAGATAATTGAAAAAAGAAAGGACTCTAGAGCAGGCATATTCACGCTACAATGAAGTAACACGATAAGTACCACCTTGATTCAACTACACAAATGCACACACAAAACACAGCAACTGCCAACCCAAGTTTAAACAGAAGTCAGTGCCACTAAGGAGAGCCAAAGTAGTACCTCTGGTACCTATACCATAGTTATGAGAACCATTGTTTACTTTAATACATGGAGCTGAGGGGAACTGACAATGAGTTTGAGATATATACATACATATACATATATATATTTACATTTAAATATTTTATATAAATATATATATAACATTAATATGATGGGAGACCTATTGCCTCATATTATTAAATTATCATTGTCAAACTGAGTATGAATATAGCGGACTAGATTTTTTGTTTTTGCAGACTGATACATTGCTTCCTGCATTTCGTTAAAAGTAAAACATTACATTACGTAACACCGGATTACGTTACATCTTTCAGACATATCAAATGTATGTATAGTCTTTCTTTCTGACAGAATATAGTTATGTGTGTAGATTTTATTTACATTAACGTTTATATTACAGAGTTTTCGTGCATTATCCTTATAATGCTGTAATTACTTATTAAAAGCAGCAGGAAATTCCAGAGGTTCTTACATAGCTCGGCAGGCTTCAGAAAACGCTTCAACTCGACGTCCAGCCAGTCCCGTCCACTGGGGCAAATCTGAAAACTTGAAAAATGGTTTAAAATTAACTTCATTGAAAAGTACAGCTTACATATTTACTACCCGACTGAAATAAGGAAAAAACGGTGCAAAGTACACACTAAATGAATACCAAGAAAAAGAGTAAATCCGCGTCGTCTGCTCTAGTACATTTCTTATCATGCTGTTATCAGTACAGGAAGTATCAGGCATACAGTGTCGTTCAAAGGTCACCAAGAAGCAGACGTAAAGATTTCAAGTTATTAACGTATTCTGTCCTTGTAGCGTTTTTGTGTGTTTTAACGTGCACAGCTGTTTTTATATTTATGGCTCCACAAGTCCGGCATATGCGAGCCAATTACCTGCGCTGCAATTGCCCACGTGATAACAGTGAGCCAATCATGTGAGTAAATTTCGGCGAGTATTAACTCAAATAAGGGCTATAATGAGGGAGAGTGTGAGAGTGTGGGAGAAATAAGAGACGAGATTGTTCAACAGTGGAGTTCATATACACGTCTTACACAATAATGTTTCAAATTGTTCCTAAAATTCTACTCTATAAATATATTTGCTGACCACATACAGGTGCTGTAGCACACATTACAGTTTTATCGTACTGCTTTATAAATCTATTGACCTTGTGGTCACCTTCGCCACGCCAAGAATGTTGGGGCAGCCCAGGTTTTAAACAGCTGTTTATTGCAAGCAATTCGGTTAAAAATAATAATAATAATAACAAATAATGAGAGATAAAATGCATTTTTTTTACTGTGTTGAAACTAATGTTGGGTTTCCACATGTTTTTTTTCGTTTCATCCACGGAGATTGCCGAGCACCCACGTGTGTCACTTGTCATTGATTTGCTAATTTGCCGCTACCTATAAACGCATTGCATTGTGAGGAGATTGCCGAGCACCCACGTGTGTCATTGTCATTGATTTGCTAATGACCCCTCCCCCGCTACCTATAAACGCATTGACAGAATATCTGCCAAAAACGCTCGGCGGCTAAACTATACGGTTATCCTCGTATGCATTGTCCGTGTGAAGACTGCGTGTGATTGCAAAAGCGAGAGAGAGAGTGTGTGTGCGCGCGCGCCCGCTTGTGTAGAAAGAGCATGCGTGTGCTCGTTACCTCTAATGTGTGTTTTATTTTGAGACGAATGTGTCAAAATGTCAAAATAGCAACGAGACAGGACAAGCAGCCACCAGCAGAAACAAAACTCGGCGCCCATGATAGTATAAATATGATTATTTAGACATTTATCCTTGGACTACTTTTGTTAGAACCTTGAATTATTTCAGTTATTTTGTGTGTGCGATCCTGTTTTAAATTGCTATTATTACCTACTCAGTCCTGCTACAATTTGACATAATACAATTTGGACAATTTGGTCCATTTTGTAGAGGAAGCTGATCCCTACAGAATTGTGAGAACATTTCCCAAACGTTAGAGCCAAATGTCAACGTACAGCTTAAATAATCCATTATACGTCCCACGTTGAAGATATTCACTGTGAGTCGTTGCAATCCACACTGGCTGCCGACAGAGGCGCAATCGCAAATACCTATAATGCCAGGCTTAATGACTCGAGGAAATACAGTGCATGGTCCAAAACAATGTTGAAATTCAAGTTAGGTTAAAATAAAACAACGATCTGCTGCAAATTTAAAGAACAAATATTTTAGTCTCTTTTAATTGACTGGATAATACCAAATAGTTTAAATGATATTTGGGTTATTTTAATGATTTAATCACCAAAGTATGAAGGAAAATAACCTGGCAGTCATTTTGCAATAATAATAAATGAAACGCGGGGATTAGAGCGTGCGTCCCTCTCTTCTCCTTATCCGTCTCGGCTTTAGGACCCGGGTGCGGCAGCAGCAGACACCGGTTGATGGGATTGATGGTCCACTCTGCATTACACACATCTGATAATTACGCCACACGGCACAAAGCGCAATAGTTCGGTCAGGTCAGCGTTAGTCCGAGGCAGACTGAGCAGACGGTGAAGAGTCATCGCGGACAGACCGCAGCAATTGTTTGTTTGTTTGTTTTTTCTCCGCCGTCTGTCCGTTCACGTCACCCCGCACCGTGGCAATAAGAGCCGTCCGTCGCTCCTCGTCTCACCGGCGACAACCATGAGCCAGAGGTTCACCGTTTCCAAGCCCGGCGGCGAACGACGCCCCTCCGGTATCCAGGGTGAGGTGAACCAGCTGTTCGAAGATGACGACCCCCCGGCCGGCGGCAGCAGCGACGCACAGGACGAGGACGGTGCCGGCACTGAGGTGGTCGTGGTGCTGAAAGGTAGGCAGACACGCCGGCTTCAATCGTTAGCTGTGGCAGCTACAAGCTAACTGGAGTGATGCTTGTGACAGTGTTTGCACAGCGCTGTCTGTGATTTGAATGTTTACTAATAACCACAGACTGACACCGTGGGTGTTTGTGAAAGTAGCACAAAGACAACGTTAATTCCGTAACAGGTGTGTTATTAACACGTGCAAATATGTTTTTGTGGACGTTCGTGTACAAACACGTTCAGGACAGGTTTTGCTTTGGTTTAATTACACGCTTTATAACGTTGTTACTCAAACAATGGTGGTGCTGTAGAATGTCTTGAATTTGTGTGCGCCCGCTGGTTTGGTTTTGTCATTTACATGACAGTTGTATTGCCGTGTCATTGTACAGCGTGGCTTTGGCAAATGGTTTGAATGAGAATCTGTTTTTCCACTGTATTTATTTAATGGTTTTAGTTGAACAGGATAGACATGTACTGCTGTTTCAACTGCTCATACTGGTGGTATTTTCTATGGTGGAAAACATCATAGAAAATGCAGTGTGTTATACATTGCTTTGTGATTTGTGTTAATATCACCACTGAACTTTGCTCTGAAAGGCAGTGTCAGTGAATTTGCTTCTCAGAACACTCATCTGTCTAAACCTCACTTTCTGTGACCTTTATGTAAATGGTAGATATATATACAGGCAATTGGATTAAATTGGTGCTATTTATGAATGACAGTCACACCTAGTGGCATCCTTAGTGGTTTCCTTATTTATTTATGACATTGTAGCAATAATATAGAGACTTGACCATGTCAAGTTCAAGTCTCTTTATTTATTTATTTTTTTCTATTTCTCATTATTCTTGGAAAAGCTGTATTTACCTGTAGCTTACAATAATTTGCCTTGTCCACTGGGATTTAGAGCTTGATTTTAAGGATTGTTCCCACCCAGTCCAGTCATTGTAATTTCCTGGGCACTTTACAGAAACCATATCAATAAATAATGTAAATGTAATTGAATTTTGGATTTGAAGAATCATTGCACCCCAGTGTTTAATTTTAGAAACCTCTGCGGTCATCCATTTGAAAATGATTTCTCTGCGCCTGAATCGATACGCTCGCTCCGGTGATAACGCTGCTGTACGACTGACATTTCCCATAAATGTCTCTGTTGTGCTGCTTTACAGTGTCTGTGCTCTCCTGCGACGTCCACTGCTGCAGTCACACTGAGGCTTTTAGTGTAACTTTGTAGTCTTTGTTGTCTGTCTAACCTGTGAAAGACGTCGGCTGCTGTCACAATACACGTTTATTTATTTAGTTTTATTTGCATAAGTCTGAAATTCGTTCCTTATACTGTATGGCGTACATACTTACTCACACTCCTTATCCTGTGCCAGGAGTCACCACTGCGGAATTCTTCTATGCCAGTGAGCCACTAAGGCAATGGTTCCCAAAGTAGGGGGTGGGCCCCCATAGGTGGTTGTGTTGTGGCAAGGCAGGCACCATGACTATATATGTATATATATATATTTAGATATATTGGTATATATATATTTATATATGTGTATATTTTTTATATGTGTGTGTTTAAATATACATATGTAAATACTGCTCTCAGTCGTTCCTCTGGAAGGTGAAGTTGCTGATAAGAATGTATAGAAACGCATCTCATGATCTCTTTGACTTCCCCTCAAGTGATAAGGAGTGCTTTGTTGAAGGGCATCCTCCCATATAGGCTTCATACAAACTGCGTTGCAGGCTTGTGGACAGGTGTCTCTGCATCCACAGTCTTGGTTGCCACGGCGACGCAGTACCTTTTTATGAAAGTAGTCTCACTAATGGTTTTTCAGTGTGTCGAAAACACTTCAGGTCAGGCAGGTACCATTAAAAACCAAGTCTGTCCTAATGGTCCGATCTCCCTCTTTCCTGTTTGTAGCACCGTGTCCTTGTTTTTTAAAGAAAGAAAAATGACAGATTGAATAATGTTTATCTTATAGGAGAATGTGATTTGATATCTCTTATTGCTGCTGTAGATTTAATGGAAATGCAAGTTAAAGCTATAGCCAACTGTGAGTTCATCTCTGTATCTAATTAACACTGCAATATTATTACAATAGTACAATTACTAAAAGGGTGTTAGGAACTTGTGTTCCTGTGTGTGTGTGGATGTAGTTCTATATGCTGCACTATTGTAGTTGTCAGTTTTGTTTGTAATCCTATGTTTACCACGGCACTCTGGTAAAGGTGGGCTATCTGAATTCCCTCAAAAGCCCTTGATTTATGAGCCTGTTTCCATTGATCCAGTCAAAGGTGTGAGCTGCATCAGCTCTGCCAGCCAGTGGGTTTGATGACTGGCTGCAGAAGATCCTCTTCTAGCTGCCAAGTGGTGTGCTTGTTCTTGACATTGCAGGGGTAAGAAGGCATTTATCTTGTTTAGATATGCTGGACTGAGGTTTGGACTGCGGAAGTTTGTAGGTCTGGCTGATCTTTAATGTGCAGCAGTGGTTCTTAAGCTATGGTACGCATGCCACCTATGGTACCTAGATTATTTTTAGGGTACACTGTACTTTTAGATTTTGATATCAAACTGTCCAACTGGCAACTTAAGGGTTTCAAAAGCACTGGAGTCGTGCCTGCGAACTTGAGC